ATAACCATTTTGTGACCCTGGACAACACCCTGTCGTTCTCTGCAAACGTCAGAGCAGTGACCCGATCCTGCAGGTTCATGCTCTACAACATCCAGAGAGTACACAACCCTACCTCACACAGGAAGCGGCACAGGTCCTAATCCAGGCACTTGTCCTCTCCCGTCTGGATTACTGCAACTCGCTGTTGGCTGGGCTCCCCGCTTGTGCCGTCAAGGAAAAAAAGAATGCCTTTCGGGAACTAACACTTGCACGTAAAATAAAAAAAAAGTTATTTTTTACTAGCTCTGACTTCGCTGATAGCTACTTTATTGAGGAAAAATATACTTACTATGAGAGTGATATGTGGTTGTCCCACGTAGCTATCTTAAGATGAATGCACTAAATGTTAGCCACTCCGGATAAGAGCGTCCGCTAAATGACTAAAATGTGTACAGCTTATCATGAGGCGAGCAGAATCTCGAGACTTCCTTAATATTAGAGATCACGCACCAGCTGTTAACAAAGAGACACACCCCCTGAGCTTCCCCGACGCTGTCGTTCTGTCCTGCCGATGTATAGAAAAACTGCTAGATGTATATTTTCCATGTCAGCCATGACTCAGTGAAACATAGGATATTATAATCTTTTGACCTGACAACTACAACAAAAACAATATCTGAATGGAATGGAGGTCATTTTCTGATTAAAATCATTGTGGGAAGTTGGTTATATCAAGAGGCATTCAGCCATGGCATTGTAACGTTATTTTGGTTAGCTAGCTAACGTTAGCATAACTAGCTAGCTACTGTACTTCTGTACAATTGCTCAAAGCTGTGCCCATAATAAAGACCAACAACACTACATAACTGCAGCTGCCACCGAGTGCAGTGTCCAGTGTCCAGTGTCCAGGTGAAATAGGGTCCGTGCGGAAAACACGTGCGCTTAACGTGGACCCATGCGGAGAAGAAAAGGAGATGTGATTAAATGTGTCCAAAACATGATGGCATAGAACATGTAATGGGTTTAACTTTGACAGCCTTTTGGTTCACATGTTGCAAACACTTTCAAGACTCAACATATGCAATAATAATAATAATAATATGCAAGAACATTCATATCGACCATGTGCTATAACGGCCACGTTTATCTCTTGATCAGTCTGACTCGGAGTGATAACTGTTGTTAGGCAGATCAGTGTAATGTCCAGTTGACCCTGTGTTGACCCTGTGTTGTCTGGTGTTGTCTTCATCAGGGTGTCTGAACGACAGCGTGGTACTCAGTGTGGTTTCGGCTCCAATGGCGGTGTTGGGATACAGCGGCCTGAAGACCCATAGGAGAGACCGAGGGAGGGGAGGGCACCGGAAAGGAGGCCTACATCTACCACACAGTCTGACTGGGGGAGGCAGACACGTCAGAGGAGAGACAGACAACCATACCAGAGGAGAGAGAGACAACCATACCAGAGGAGAGAGAGACAACCATACCAGAGTAGAGAGAGACAACCATACCAGAGGAGAGAGAGAGAACCATACCAGAGGAGAGAGAGAGAACCATACCAGAGGAGAGAGAGACAACCATACCAGAGGAGAGACAGACAACCATACCAGAGTAGAGACAGACAACCATACCAGAGTAGAGACAGACATCAACTCCAGGATGGAAAGTAGAGAGAGCGGCAGATTCAGAGTGGAGGGTAGGAGGAGCCTGAGGAAGGAGGTCCCAGAACCTGAGCAGCAGAAGATCAGCAGGAGGAGAGGAGAGGAGGACCAGGGAACGGAGGAAAGGAAGAAGAGGAGGAGAGAAGAGGAGGACCAGGGAACAGAGAAGAGGAGGAGAGGAGAGGACCAGGGAATGGAGGAAAGGAAGAAGGGGAGAGGAGAGGAGGACCAGGGAATGGAGAAGAGGAGGAGAGGTGAGGAGGACCAGGGAATGGAGGAGAGGAGAGGAGAGGAGGACCAGGGAACGGAGAGGAGGAGAGGAGAGGAGGACCAGGGAACAAAGGAGAGGAAGAGGAGGAGAGGAGAGGAGGACCAGGGAACAAAGGAGAGGGAGAGGAGGAGAGGAGAGGAGGACCAGAGAACAAAGGAGAGGAGGAGAGGAGAGGACCAGGGAACGAGGAGGAGAGGAGAGGACCAGGGAACGAGGGAGAGGAGGAGAGGAGAGGAGGACCAGGGAACGAGGGAAAGGAGGAGAGGACTCAAGGAAAGCTCTATCAAAGCCAAAACCAGTGAGAAACCTGCGAGTAGGGTCAGTGATATGACTGACGCTAGGATTAATGTTAGTGATATGATTGAAGCTAGGGTTAGGTTAACTAGGATCAAGGTTCATAATGTGACTGAGGCTAGGGTCAGGTTAACGAGGGTTAGGGTTAGTGATCATGTGACTGAAGTGAAGGATAGGAAGGCCAGGCTCAGCGGAACAGAGGACAGCCAATCAGACCCCAGAGACACCACTGTACCCATGACAACCAAACACAACGGCTGGCTAGCCAGTGGGCCTGGCGGCAGCAATCTTAAAAACTGGGGTAAATTCAGAATCCCCAAGAGGAGCGAAAGGCCAAAGGAGGAGCCATCAATCCCCAACCCCCCACAGAGCAGGCCTCTTAACCACAACCCCCCACAGAGCAGGCCTCTTAACCACAACCCCCCACAGTGCAGGCCTCTTAACCACAACCCCCCACAGCGCAGACCTCCTAACCACAACCCCCCACAGGGCAGACCTCCTAACCACAACCCCCCACAGCGCAGACCTCCTAACCACAACCCCCCACAGGGCAGACCTCCTAACCACAACCCCCCACAGGGCAGACCTCCTAACCACAACCCCCCACAGGGCAGACCTCTGCACAGAACTCCCCCCAACACCAGTGAGCTGTCGTACCCCAGGACACGACTCCGAACTGGGACAGAGAGCGATGGGTACTCCTCCGCTACCCCTGAAACTCCGCCCAGTGGGGTGGATATGGAGGCGTGTCAGAAGAGATGCCACTCCCACCAGCTGAGGGGCGGGGCCTACGGCTCTGACATCATCCACCAAGAGGTTCTAGCCTCCTGATGACATCATCCTGCTGAGAAACAAACAGCACCATGTTTATAGAAAACGAAGCTAGCCCATGGTTGCTTTTAATATTTTATTTTTTCATAATCAAATTTACAGAACTGATATTTATTTTTTTATTTGTATCATTTGTAAATATTTTCAATTCTGTTGAAAAACTTGTTTTATTGATAAGGTGTTATTTTTCAGTGAATGTATGATGGCCACTAACTCTAGACATGCTCATAGCCTCAACAAAATCACACCTGACAACTGATTTTTGTTGAAGCATAAGCCATGTATTTAATTTGTAGTTTGCGAAATCACATTATAGCACTTGCAGAATGGTAAAGTATGAATGAAGTATTGAATAATGGAAATTTAACCTGAAACCATGAAAACTACACAAAGAATCAGAATAAATCACATTTATATACTTCCCAGCAGTGAATCAAGAGGTTGGGGGAGAGAGGCCTGATATTGCTAGAGAACCTGAGAAACCCTTGAACCAATCAAGTGGAGGCTGATGCTGTGGAGGCGGCCGGGTATTGGTGAACTACGATAGCGTAATGAGGAACCTCCCTGGGCTAACACTGTCTGATGGTGCTTAGTGGTTAAGGCTGGATTCAATCTATCGCTGAAGTGTTAGATGGCGGGAAGGACTGACTGAGGTGTTAGATGGCGGGAAGGACTGACTGAGGTGTTAGATGGCGGGAAGGACTGACTGAGGTGTTAGATGGCGGGAAGGACTGACTGAGTTGACATATGCTGGAACGTTGCCTTTAAAATTTCAATCACGCTGACCTTCAGCGATACGGATTGAATAGAGCCTCAAGTCCATGACACGTCTAGTAGGAGTGCCGATCTAGGACCTGTCTGTCTGTCAGAGGCTTTATGGAGACTGGAGCTGAAGACAAACCACTTCCTGTTCTGACTCATCCAGGGGTCATCGGATGGACTTCCTGTGACAGATGTCATTCATCATGTGCCTATCTTTATTAAAAGTGTTTGCACTAAGACAGGATTGCTGGGCTGGGTTTGGAGGAAATCCTTTTTACAGAAAAACATTTTGTACCATCGACTGCTGCTGTATTGTCATTATGCAAATGACCAGTCATGTCTTAAATAAATTCTGGTGGATTTTCAAGTTTCACTCTTACATCACCTCAATGTGTTTCCTGAACACAGATTAAGGGATCATTAGACTGAATGGGGGAAATGTTCCAGACTTTTCTCCAGCAGATCGTGGACTGAACTAACCAATAAAGGCCTCTTTATTCTGGTATTAAAGCCACAGGTCCATGTTGATATTGATGACAGTGTTCTACGTCGTCGGGCACCAGATTGCTATGACGTGGGTTAGCTGATACGTAAAATACCTACGCAGGCGTCAGCAACGAAGAGACTGAGTTAAAGTCCACAATAAGGTTTCAGCTCTGTGCTTTAATAACACTCTGAACAGGTGGATATCACATTTCTGTACTAGCATTACTCAAATGAAAACAATTAGTTTAAAAAATATTCAGTACTTGTCTATAGTAAACGCAAGTCAAGACCTATCCATAGTGTCGTGTTTAACGATATTACTTCAGATAAAAACAGATCCAACCTGCCAACCTAGTACTAACAAGATTCCAGTATTATTATAATTTTGGTCTTTCATATACACACATACACATATATATATACACACACATAACATATAAACCTCTACTGGGGAGAGAAGGAGTGAAGAGACTAATGCTGTACCTGTCGTCTGTGCTTCTCTACCAGGTGTTCTCTCACTGCAGACAAGTTACAGACAAACAACAGGTACAAGCTGAGTGGAAGGACCCGATTGGCTGGCTGGCTGAGTGTAAAAGGACCTGATTGGTTGAATGAGCTGTAGAGCAGATCCCTGATGAGGAGAGACATCATACATACAGTGCTTTCTGTCTGTCATATTGAAAACATTATTATGGAGTTGGGTCCTGTTCTGCTGCAGGTCAGCACCTCCCAGACTGTAGACCTGAACTCTCAGTCCGCTCCGGGTCAGGGGTCATCGTGCTCCTGGCAGCAGAGTTGTCCAGTGTGGGGCCAGAGCCGCAGCGCCCCCTCCTGGTGGTTCTTGCAGAAGGAGTTGGGGCACAGCTGGCAGAACACCTCCGACGGCTTCCCACACACATCACAGTGGTGCCACGGGCAATCCCAGCGCCCTGAAATATAACAACATTAACATATTATACACAGAACAAAAATATAAAACAAAGTATTGGTCCCATGTTTCATGAGCTGAAATTAAAAAAAATCCCTGAAATGTCCGTTCCAGATGCACAAAAAGCTTATTTCTTTCAAATGTGTTTCCATCTCTGTTGGTGAGCATTTCTCCTTCTCCAAGATAATCCAAACCACCTGACAGGTGTGGCATATCAATAAACTGATTAAACAGAATGATCATTACACTTGTGCTGGGGACAATAAAAGGCCACTAAAATGGTGCTGAGGAGTATTTCTGTCTGTAATAAAGCCCTTTTGTGGGGAAAACCCAATTCTGATTGGCTGGGCATTATATTTTTGTTCAGCGCTGAACAAAAATATGAACACAACATGCAACAATTTCAAAGATTTTACTGAGTTCAGTGCATGCATGCATATATAAACTCAGCAAAAAAAAAAACATCCCTTTTTCAGGACCCTATCTTTCAAACATACTTGAAAAAAATCCAAATAACTTCACAGATCTTCATTGTAAAGAGTTTAAACTCTGTTTCCCATGATTGTTCAATGAACCATAAACAATTAATGAACATGCACCTGTGGAACGATCGTTAAGACACTAACAGCTTACAGACGGTAGGCAATTAAGGTCACAGTTATGAAAACTTAGGACACTAAAGAGGCCTTTCTACTGACTCTGAAAAACACCAAAAGAAAGATGCCCAGGGTCCCTGATCATCTGCGTGAACGTGCCTTAGGCATGCTGCAAGGAGGCATGAGGACTGCAGATGTGGCCAGGGCAATAAATTGCAATGTCCGTACTGTGAGACGCCTAAGACAGCGCTACAGGGAGACAGGACGGACAGCTGATCGTCCTCGCAGTGGCAGACCACGTGTAACAACATCTGCACAGGATCGGTACATCCGAACATCACACCTGCGGGACAGGAACAGGATGGCAACAACAACTGCCCGAGTTACACCAGGAACGCACAATCCCTCCATCAGTGATCAGACTGTCCGCAATAGGCTGAGAGAGGCTGGACTGAGGGCTTGTAGGCCTGTTGTAAGGCAGGTCCTCACCAGACATCACCGGCACAAACCCACCGTCGCTGGACCAGACAGGACTGGCAAAAAGTGCTCTTCACTGACGAGTCGCGGTTTTGTCTCACCAGGGGTGATGGTCGGATTCGCGTTTACCAGTCGAAGGAATGAGCGTTACACCGAGGCCTGTACTCTGGAGCGGGATCGATTTGGAGGTGGAGGGTCCGTCATGGTCTGGGGCGGTGTGTCACAGCATCATCGGACTGAGCTTGTTGTCATTGCAGGCAATCTCAACGCTGTGCGTTACAGGGAAGACATCCTCCTCCCTCATGTGGTACCCTTCCTACAGGCTCATCCTGACATGACCCTCCAGCATGACAATGCCACCAGCCATACTGCTCGTTCTGTGCGTGATTTCCTGCAAGACAGGAATGTCAGTGTTCTGCCATGGCCAGCGAAGAGCCCTGATCTCAATCCCATTGAGCACGTCTGGGACCTGTTGGATCGGAGGGTGAGGGTTAGGGCCATTCCCCCCAGAAATGTCCAGGAACTTGCAGGTGCCTTTGTGGAAGACTGGGGTAACATCTCACAGCAAGAACTAGCAAATCTGGTGCAGTCCATGAGGAGGAGATGCACTGCAGTACTTAATGCAGCTGGTGGCCACACCAGATACTGACTGTTACTTTTGACCACCCCCTTTGTTCAGGAAAACATTATTCAATTTCTGTTAGTCACATGTCTGTGGAACCTGTTCAGTTTATGTCTCAGTTGTTGAATCTTGTTATGTTCATACAAATATTTACACGTTAAGTTTGCTGAAAATAAACGCAGTTGACAGTGAGAGGACGTTTCTTTTATGCTGAGATAGATATATATATACACACACACAGTTGAAGTCGGATGTTTACATACACCTTAGCCAAATACATTTAAACTCAGTTTCACAATTCCTGACATTTAATCCTAGTAAAAATTCCCTGTCTTCGGTCAGTTAGGATCACCACTTTATTTTAAGAATGTGAAATGTCAGAATAATAGTAGAGAGAATGATTTATTTCAGCTTTTATATCTTTCATCACATTCCCAGGGGGTCAGAAGTTTACATACACTCAATTAGTATTTGGTAGCATTGCCTTTAAATTGTTTAACTTTGGGCAAACGTTTCGGGTAGCCTTCCACAAGCTTCCCACAATAAGTTGGGTGAATTTTGGCCCATTCCTCCTGACAGAGCTGGTGTAACTGAGTCAGGTTTGTAGGCCTCCTTGCTCGCACACGCTTTTTCAGTTCTGCCCACTAATTTTCTATAGGATTGAGGTCAGGGCTTTGTGATGGCCACTCCAATACCTTGACTTTGTTGTCCTTAAGCCATTTTGCCACTTTTGCCACTTTGGAAGTATGCTTGGGGTCATTGTCCATTTGGAAGACCCATTTGTGACCAAGCTTTAACTTCCTGACTGATGTCTTGAGATGTTGCTTCAATATATCCACATAATTTTCCTTCCTCATGATGCCATCTATTTTGTGAAGTGCACCAGTGCCTCCTGCAGCAAAGCACCCCCACAGCATGATGCTGCCACCCCCGTGCTTCACGGTTGGGATGGTGTTCTTCGGCTTGCAAGCCACCCTCCCCTTCCTCCAAACATAACGATGGTCATTATGGCCAAACAGCTATATTTTTGTTTCATCAGACCAGAGGACATTTCTCCAAAAAAGTACAATCTTCGTCCCCATGTGCAGTTGCAAACCGTAGTCTGGCTTTTTTATGGCGGTTTTGGAGCAGTGGCTTCTTCCTTGCTGAGTGGCCTTTCAGGTTATGTCGATATAGGACTCCTTTTACTGTGGATATAGATACTTTGTACCTGTTTCCTCCAGCATCTTCACAAGGTCCTTTGCTGTTGTTCTGGGATTGATTTGCACTTTTCGCACCAAAGTACATTCATCTCTAGGAGACAGAACGAATCTCCTTCATGACGGCTGCGTGGTCCCATGGTTTTTATACTTGCGTACTATTGTTTGTACAGATGAACGTGGTACCTTCAGGCGTTTGGAAATTGCTCCCAAGGATGAACCAGACTTGTGGAGGTCTACAAATTTTTTTCTGAGGTCTTGGCTGATTTATTTTGATTTTCCCATGATGTCAAGCAAAGAGGCACTGAGTTTGAAGGTAGGCCTTGAAATACATCCACAGGTACACTTCCAATTGACTCAAATTATGTAAATTAGCATATCAGAAGCTTCTAAAGCCATGACATCATTTTCTGGAATTTTCCAAGCTGTTTAAAGGCACAGTCAACTTAGTGTATGTAAACGTCTGACCCACTGGAATTGTGATACAGTGAATTATAAGTGAAATAATCTGTCTGTAAACAATTGTTGGAAAAATTACTTGTGTCATGCACAAAGTAGATGTCCTAACCGACTTGCCAAAACTATAGTTTGTTAACAAGAAATTAGTGGAGTGGTTGAAAAACAAGTTAATGACTCCAACCTAAGTGTATGTAAACTTCCAACTTCAACACAGATAGATATCTATATATAATATATA